GTAAGTGGGCAAACCTGCAAAATCAGCAAGGGGTCAAATATTTATTTACTCTTTGTATTAGAAAATGGTGCATGCATCCTTTGGGGTTAAATAATTTGCTGGCAGCTGAAAGATGCAGGAATAACTGGTCAGTAGAATCTCAGTGGCAAATGATTTTTTTTCCTGGCTGCAAGAGTCAACGTGTCCACAAACACTTTTCTGACACATTGACAGGAATGTTGGGGTTTTATAATCATCAGCACATTTATTCAATTGATTTAAAAGGAGTTGCAAACAATTCTTTGGTTAAACGTGATTACTGATGGCCCAAAAGTTACAATTAAACATCCGACAGATCAAACAATTGAGAAGCGATTTGTGACCCTGAGCTCCTGTAAAATAAACACTGGGAGAGGTTCGTCAGATGTACAAATCCAGCTTGAATTCAGCTAATTCCAACGGTGTCTTTACCTGTGTTTAGGTCGTGGCTTCCCATATGTGGCTGCAGGTCTCTTTCTCCGCCCCCCACCACCATGTTGCGCAGCCTGAGGGAGTCGTAGAGGCCCTGGAGCTTCTGGTACTGCCTGTTCCTCTCCATCAGCCTCTCGGACACCTCGCTGTACTTCCTCTTGTACTCGTCCATCACCTGAAAAAGTGCAGTTAAGAAAAGCATCATCCGATATTATCTGACCTCTTCAGGCTCAGACGGAGGGATGGAGGCCCTCAGAGCCTTTTGCACAACCGTCACAAACTGTGTTTTTTTTGTTTCGTTTTTTTCCCTTGTCGTGTTTGGCATTATGGCAACAGAATTGTAATCTGAGTGCCGTGCTCTGCCCGACACTTTTGCTTTGCCAAGGGAGGCCTGTCAGGGTGAGAACCCTCCCTTGATCATCCCATACTGCTTTATTATATATTTAGGATTTATTTTTGTTACATAATTAATATGGCTAATGCCAACCATGAACGGGGGACAGGAAAGGGGAAAAAAGAAAGAGATTCCTAAAACAGGAAGAGAGGAGAGAAAAAAAAAGGAAAGAGAGACAACAAAACCATCCATCCAAACTGTGTTTTTTTTAACATCTACCTGCACACTTTTAAAGTAAATTTGAGTAATGTTTGATGAAGGTTTTACTTTCTTTAGGGAGGCGATCTCCCCTCTCATGGCGGTGAGCTCCAGCTCCCTGCTCTGGTTCTGTTGAGTCAAAACCTTCTCCATCTGCCTGAGCTGGGCCTCAGCGCGTGACAGACTGTACTCCTGATACATTCGCTCCTGATGCACCTGTAAACACAGAAAACAAATAGGTACCTCACTGGTTTCATCACTGACTTTTGCAGACAGAGTGGGAGCTGACCTGATAGCTCCAGAAGGCCAGAGCCCGGGCGCTGATGTCCAGAACCACGTCCGGTCGCAGGCCGGCCAGCACCATGGCCTTGTACTCCTCGGACGGCGACAGCTCCGTCCGGACGATGTCCAGCTTCCCGGAGAGCGCGGAGGAGCAGGCGGGGCAGACGGCCGGGGAGCGGCTGAACTCGCCGGAGCCGTGCTGGTCGCAGAAGGCGTGCGAGCAGGCCGTGACCCACGCAAAGCCGCTCAGTTTGGACCGGCACTTCGGGAAATTACACAGCAGCGTGTCGTCACCCAGAGACATGGCCATGACTGCAGGCGGGAGAAGGATTGTTCAGAAATACTGTCATATGTCCACATATTCTGTACATTACAGATACAAAATGCCCAATTTTGGTATTTAAAACCTATATGTTTGAATTACAGAGATTAATACTAAGAAGGGATACAGCCCTAACTTTTGGCTTAAAAAGGTATGCCATAACTTTGTTTTTTAGCTGCAGGAACAGGATTTTGAGAATATGTTGTAGAGGACTCAAAATTAGGAATATAAATTGAACAATTGTTTTACTCTTTGCATACATTTAAGAAAACAACAGGTATTATTTTTTCTTAAATCCTAAACCTGATTTTTGTTGTTTCCGTATTTTTTCTATTTAATTCAGATAAACTGCTTGAAATCATTTTTACGCAGTTAAATGCTAACAACTTTTATATGAATTTGTTGGCTGCTAATGCTAACCCCTCTGTCAGCTGGCAATTTTGTCGTTTAACTCATAACCTGCCACTGAGCAAAATTAAAAGGACATAAATACAACAACATACGTTTAAAATATAATATATACGTTTAGATATAATTTCAAAAAGTCACCTTTATTCCCAACTATTCAACGTTAGCTCGGAAGCTCGACCTGGTTGCTAAAGCTAAGCTAGTCTGGGATAGCTTTTGATATTTATTTTTTCTTGTTAGTAAAGAAAAATTGTTTCACATTTGTATGCTTGATTTGGATAATATTACCATTATATTTTTGTAAGAATAACTTTATTTATATCTTTGACATTTTTTAAATTTCGGTTAATACCACACCTTACCGGTTGGTTCTTCTTCAACAGGTGGCAGCAGGTGACGTCACGTTAACCTTGTATTCTGACTGGCTGATTCCACTTTCTTTGAACCAATTGCAATAAACGATCAAACTACGAAATTAAGTCTTCGAAATTAATCTGTTACATCTGAAAAGACTAGTCAGTAAACTTTCATTTCATTGTTGAAAAGTACTTGAAAATTGTACTTATCTTAATTTTGTTTTTATTTAGCATTAAGCTACCAGAAAAGTATGCAAATTTAATTTGAATTATGTTAAAGAGAAGTCCTCAGTTGTATTAAAGTCACTCCTCTCTGGTTGAAGGCTACATCCATGTTGCCTTAACTAACGTTTTATTTAAGCTAACACTAAAAATTGAGGTGTTTTTTTGTGTTTTTCTTTATAAAAACAAAAGGCCATTATATGAATTTATGTAAAAAACTAAAGCAAGACAGTTACATAATTCTAAAACATGAAGTGTTATATATATTTAGCAAGGTCGATCTCCCTTTTAAAGAAAAAACATATAGGAAATATGAATATTTACAGAAGTTTTCATCATTAAGTTATGTTTTATGGAATAATAATAATATTTTTACACTGAATCATCACAGTTTGACAAAAAATTTCAAAGACTATGTTGACTTTTGAGGCTTCTGGTCCCACAGCAACACTTTTTTATGCCTAAACTTATCTCGAAAGCTTTGATTCCATCCCATTCAGCTCAAACTCAAACCCTTTCAAGTTTTCTTGCCCAGCCTCTGGACGGACACTGACCATACAGTAAGCCGATGTATAATGTGGGGACACCTTAAATTTGGCAACCGCCGCCTCCTCCCACGTCCCCCCTCTTTCTCTTGCTTTTATCCGTCTCTCCACGTGGTACAGGAGTAAAGGCGGGGGGTGAAAGAGGGCCATTGTGCTGTGCTGCAGCAGGATCCGGGGGTTCATAGTGCGAGAGGGGAGATGCTCACTCAACTGTGTCCAGCTCGCCATTGTCAGTGATTCCCATCTATTCTCTGCCTTTTAAATAGAGCTCCAGTGTAAGATGCCGTTTGGAGGGCTTATTATGCGCCCGCATGGCGATAATAACACACGTATTACGCGCATGCATGTGGAATGGACGTGGCCCCACTTTGCGCACTTTGTGCTATATCACAACACGTTGCCTCGTTAATTGGCCCTATGTGGAAATCAAAGGGGGAGAAATCTGGCCCTGGGCAGACTTCTGCAAGATTTCCCAAACTCTTCCCAGGAGAAGCCACTCGCCAGGCAACTTTTTTTTAGCTTCGTGATGCCCCTGAACGTCCTGTTGCCTCATCTTTTTGTGTGTGTTGTGCTTCTTTAGTGTCGTCTGGCTAATTAAGTCACCTGCACACCGTTTGGACTCACGTGTCCACTGC